CACAGCGAGCCACTACGCGCCAATCACATAAGCATTATACAAATAATGCACTGTTGCGAGTGTGTTAGCGCAAAGCCAGTGCGCGAAGTTTAGTGCACATAGGTGATAATGCACGAGCGCCCGCAAGACAATTGCGTTATCGATATCGCACTGACTAAACTGAGTGCACCGGAACTGCGCTAACACACGAGCGGAACAGTGCATTATTTGTTTTATAAGACGGGTCGGCAATACTTTCTAACAATATAGTCTAGTTCAAGATATTGATATTGAAAATAATGCATAAATTAAATTTGGCTGAATTACGCGGAAGTGATATCGGGGGGGGGGGGGGGGGGGGGGGAGTATCGAGCCTGTGTTTGATGGGAGATGTTTCGCACGATGGGAAGAACTAATACGCGCCCACGTGATGTTAATCGACCAATCGGATTACTTACATTACAGAACCCGTCTTATAATTACTCATATCATTAAAACCGGTGGGACACGAGTCATTGCATGGTTGTCTGATATAAGACTGTGTCAGCAACTTGCCCAGCCTTTGACGTGCTATATTATGACATTGTACAAACATGGAAAGCAAAATGATAAGTATAATCACTGACTTGAATCAAAATGACGCTTCGTGTGCAACGTGCACAAGGATCTGGGTATATGTGCATGTGTGCGTTTGTGCGTGTATGAGTGGATATATACAGTGCGTCCCAGAAAAAACAGAACTGAGAATTTTCTATTTTTTATCATAACTTAATCACAATTATAATTGATGAATTACGCATATTTGTAAAGCTTAAATCCTTCTCTTTTATTTGATGCAACTCATATGATGCATATTTCACGCATGAGTGATTAAAACAATTTGAAGAGAGGAAACCAAACAGTCATTTGGTAGGCGGTATCTGAATTTCAAAGAGAAAATCACTTTTCTAGAAAGTTCATTTTCTGCCCTTTCATATGACTCCTCAATCGGAAAAATGAGCCAGGAATAACAAAGTTATGTTTGTTTAAAGGATTTTTAAAGGATTTCTCTTTTAGATGATCTATGATAATATGCTAGTTATAATTGGTGACCTGAAGGCAGAGGCGCTTAGGAGACACAAACAAACAATCCGAACGGGTGAGAAATGCATTGATACGTTACACTAGCCAAAATTACTGCTTTGAGATTCACATAGATTTAGTTAACTCATATTTAAAACACTGATGACTTTCATATCATTTGTCCGATTATTTCAAACTGTTGACACATTTCTTATCTTATTTCTCTTCTTCTTCTCCCTCTTCTTCTTCTTCTTCTTCTTCTTCTTCTTCTTCTTCATTTGCTTTAATATTCATCTTCTTCGCCAACTTCTCCGCGAGGATGGGGGAGGGGGGGTATTTATACATTCAAGATTAGGACCGGGGGTCGATTTTAGTTTAGGAATTACGGATCGATATCTGGATGTAACCTTGGCTTATGTTCGTATTGTTACCGATTGTTTACATTATATCATACAGCGGAAAACCACGAAGCTGGGTGACTTCCAAAGTGAATAAAAGGGCACTTTCTGGAGAAAAAAAGGGCACCTACAAAGTGAAAATATACAATTTTGGGGGCATTGATATATACCCCTACATTGTGATTACATTTGTTAGGGATGATTTCAATATTTGTTTCACTTTCTACACCATATAGGATATTGCTTAAGCATCAGGCTTTGCAGTTGGGTTTGATTGTCTAAAAAATTGTCTGCGAGCGAGTGAAGCGAGCGAGGAAAAGATGTATGAGGTCGCAGTGCGATAAATTACATCTTATTAAGAGGAAAAACCCAATCCTAATGGGGTTATAAGAACATTCTTATAACGGAAGACTAAAGAGACTTTTGATAAGTAACATAAGTATATCATCTATAGATGCGTGCGAGTGTAGCGAGCGAGCTCTAGGGGAAATTGCTCTTAATCGCCTGAAATTAGCTAGGGCACGTTTAATGATGAGAGGAAAAGAGGACACTTATTAGGAAAGAAAAGGAGCAATAGCCAAAGTACAAAGAGTAAATATCAGAGGTGAAAATGGGGCATTTCTTACACCCCCAAAAGGAGGCACTCATCAGGGATGAAAAAAAATCATTCATGAGAATAGGAAATGGGCATTTGTCGACGGAAAAGGGGCCTCCATCAGATCTTGATAGCGGCATTTATAAGAGGTGAAAAGGGACATTTATGAAAAGGGGATAGGTCCCTTATTAAAAAGGGAAAGGTTAAGATCATTGTTAAAAGGGAAACTATCAGAAGTCAAAAGAGGTGAGAAGGGGAAGGGGCTCTTTTTTAATGGGGTACTTTTCATTAGAAAAAGGGGCACTTATTAGAAAGGAAAAAGGGCACATCTGAAAATATAAGGTGCGCTTATCCGAGTTAAAATGGAGGTAGTTAATGAAAGCGGAAGGGGCACTTCTTACAAAAGAAAAGGGGCCCTTGTCAAAGTAAAAGAGGCACCTCTCAGATTTAAATAAATAATAATAATAATTAACAACATTTGTATAGCGCTTATCACAAAATATGTCTCTAAGCGCTTAAGAAAAATAGAAAGAGAAGGAATTACAGCCAAATATTAAGTTATACATAATAGATAGTGGACAATCGAGGGGGCTGCATATGCAAATGAAAAAGGCTATTTAACAAAAAAAGTAGGTTTTTAACATGGATTTGAATTTGTCTGTTGAATCTGCTTGTTTTATACATTGAGGTAAATTGAACAACTATCAGAGGTGAAGGGGGCACTTATCAAAAGTGTAAAGAGGCAGTATTTGTACCTAATGGGGGGCACTTACTAGAGATTAAAAAGGGCATTTATGAGAATGGAAAATGGACACTTATTGCAAAGGAAAATGGAAACTTGTCGAAGGGAAAGGGGCACGTGTCCAAAAAAAGGGGCACTTATTAGAGTTGAAAACGGGAAGGGGCACTTTTAAAAATTAATAGGGGCACCTGTCAAAGTAAAAGGGGTAATATTCCTATGAAAAAAGGGGCACTTCTTAAAAAGTTAAAGGATCATTTTTCCTACGTAATACAGTGCGTCCCAAATATATCAATTTAGAATAGCCATATACTTTTATTAATTGAATTTCCCCATTAATGTTAAATCACGCTGCTTCCACAACGTAAACAATTTTTAAATCTTGCTCAATATTTCTTTGTAGTTCAGTTGTTCTTTGATATCTTCGAGTATTGAAAAAGTGAATTCCTAATATTTTAACAATGTCGACTTGCTTCCCAAACGGAAATGTATGAGTGGATAATTGTGGACCCAGGGGTAAAATGAATGTGTTGTCCTTTAACTTTAATTTGAAATGTTATAAACACCTTTTTTTAATTCTTCAATGAATTGGAATCTTTAATGATAAGCGTTATATCATCTGCGTACAGAACTTGCTTTATTTCTGTATTTCCGAAACTGATTCCTTTTATCTGATGATTATTTCATATGAGCTAAAACTTCAATACACAAAACAAATAAATATGGAGAGAGCATTATAAACAAATATTACACAAAAGTGATATCGACAGGTATTGTGCGTGTGGTATCAAGCAAGATAAATATGCACGGTGGGAACAAAAAATATGAACGCCCACGTGGACCCCTCAATTGACCAATCGGATTGCTTAGATTCTAGAACCCGTCCTATAAATTACCATATTTATAGAGAATATTTTCGCAGGCGAATACGTGTAATCAAATACAGACGACAACGCGAGCGTCCAGAGTGACTATTTTTCTCTATAAAGAGTTTATGAATTTTAGTCTGACTGTTATTTAATCCAGTGGAGGTCGTGCAGACATGCATAATAATCCTGGAGAGATATCATAGAACTGAGATTGGATAAAGATACATCACTGTTGAACCTGCTTACTTGTAAACAGATTATTGCAGAAACTATTTTGGAAATAAGACTGAATTCATAACCCGACAGCAATTTGGAATGTGCTCATGATGCAGAACTAAAACATTGAGGAGGATTTTTAAAGTTATATTCCGTACTAACACTGATGAACGGCGTTTCCTCTCGCACATTCTATGAATCTTAACTTGCAATCTTGTAACTCTCTGGTGGACAAACTGTAACAACTTGACAGCAGCTTGCTTGGTCAGTCAGTCTCTAAACATCTTCTCTCACTTTATGCATAATTTATTTTAAGACCTCATCTCTCATACTAAATACTTCTCTTTTTTATTCATTTTTGTTTTCTTCTTTTTTTATTTCTTTTTTTCCTCTTCCAAGAATACTTCTGCGCCTGGTGCATTTAATCTTGAAGCCTTATTGGCTTTTACGGATGCACCATTTTCCATTTGTACCATTTTCTTTATATTTTAAATGCTGTTATGTCAATTTCAACTGTAATTTTGATATTGTTATCTGTTATAAAATTCCATATTTTATCTTTGTAAATATTGTTATTATGATGGAAATAAATGTCAATTCAATTTCGTGCTTGCGGCTGCGGAAAGTCAATAAATTAAAAGTATGCATCGTATTTGTATGGAGTGTACGCACGGCGAGATTAAATCAAGGCTGCATGTACTATCATGGAGATAACTATCATAGATTAGTCGTTATCACTGTAAACAGAGGTTCGGAACGAGAATTATTACATAGTTTTATCTGTTGGATAAATGAGGAAGAAAGATGGGTGCAACTGGGATTACAGTTGTGTAGCCTACGGTAGCTCTTACATCGGATTATGTATCATTCGAAGCTGTGCATCCTCTAACTTTGTTCGACTTCAACCCAAGATCATTATGACACACGGTTACAGAAGAAAAGGAGAAATAAAAATAGGTTATCAAAAAATATTGTTTGATTGTGAGGAAAACTTTGAACGTCTATTCATTACGAACAGCAGTGTGAAGCCTAGCGATAACTGTTTTGTAAACTCTCATCCTTCGTATAATCAAAGAGATCTGGTGCGCTCTGTGAATACTGATTGATATTTTCTTTCTTTCTTTGAAACTCTGATAGTGATCTCATATTCCGAGCCCAAGAACACTATTTACTTTCGACTTACGGGATAAACAGGAAGCAAATCTTTGACGTTATGTCGGGTCATCGCTCAAGAGGAACACTGGCTATCGCCATGGTGGTGTTGCTAATCGCATTGAATCTAAAGGAGTGCAATTCAGAAGGTAAGAGTACGTTACTTTATGGTGACAATATCATTTGCAATACGAATGATGATATTAAGGATCAAACGAGGAATGATGATTGTAATAATGATGATGATGAAAAAAAGGTAATAGGTAATATCAAGATGAATCTTTCTTAGTTAAGCCTTTAACGAATGTCTACTCATGCCTTGGTCTTTCCCTTCTACTTTCATTTTGTCTTCCCTGTTTTATTGTTGATGTTGTTGATTTGGTTTATATATTGTAATCAAACTCTGTATGCAATATTGTTGAAATGATATAAAGTAATAAAATGCCTCGTATGAGGAAAGGAGAGAAAAAAATGATGATGATTAAAATAATATTAATGATAAAAATTATTATAGTAATAATAACAATAATATTTATGACAATAACAATTATATAAATGAAAGTAACTACGATATTGATATGATAATAGTTACAATAATAATGATATTAACAACAGCAACAATGATAAGAATAGGTATAACAATAATGATTATAATAACAATAATCATAATATGAAGATGAAGATGAAAAAATGGTTTATAGCCATTTGGTCTATAACCAGTTTGTCTCCTACCCAATTAGTCTATTCCCATAATGGTCTATACTCAGCTTGTCTACTGGTCTAATAATCATTTCGTCTGCTTATCATTTGGTCTAGTGACCTTTTAGGATAATATTTTGCTTTTCTTCATTTGGTCTAATTAGTCTGCTACCCATTTGATCTAATGTTTGTTTGTTTGTTAGATTGATTTAAATCCTACGTTCAAATACGAAATACAATAGAAGGTTATACATTTTTACAAAAGTATTACATACATAGCAAATCATGTCTAATAATACTATATAATATACATAACGCAAAGCATTTTAACAAGTGTAACATATATTTGTATATATTTTTCATGTAATTAAAGAGATAAATTTCAGAACGCAGGAGACCGCCATCAATTAGGCTGGAAATGGATGGCGGCCTCGTGAAAAAAAATATTTAGCAACAAAACTCTCTTGATAAAACCTACACTATGAACATGACGGACAATGAAAGCGGACAAAATATACAGTTCCTCAGGTAGATAAAGAAACATCCCTTCACTGCTATTATGTAAAAAGATGAATATGCATGTGACACCTGTTCTACACATTTTTACATAATAGCAGTGAAGAGATGTTCCTTTGTCTACCTGAGGAACTGTATATATTGTCCGCTTTCATCGTCAGTCATATTCATAGTGCTAGTGATCAAGTGGGTGCAGTACAATTGCAGGTGCGGGTGCAGCAGACAGCTTAAATCATGGTTTCAGACAACGCTATTATACTAATTTCGAGCGTTTGGCACACATGATTGCATTATTTTTCGTTTTAGTTTGGCTTTCAAGGAATAGAGGGTTGAACAAGATTTGATGTTGTCTGGAAAATTATTCCAAATATCCGGACCACAATGTCTAATGGATTTGTGCGTTTATTAATAATTTGGGGTTAGTCAGGTGGAAATGTCTAGATATGCGAATGGGGTAAGAATGAACAGAACAATTGAAACTAAACATGCTATCAAAGGATGGTGGAAGTTGTTTATTAATATACTTGAACAAAATAACTGCTACTTGAATAGTATTCACACACGAAAAAATAGTGTTCTAAGTTTAAAGAATAAGGGGTCAGTGTGAGCCAAATAATGTGATCCTGTACAAAAACGGATAGCTCTCTTTTGTTTAAATAGTCTAATTATTTGTTAGTCTAGTTCCCAGTTTGTTAAATGCCCTTTTCGTCTACCATCTATTAGTTCCAATAATCATTTAACGATTAATAATAAACATGCACCATTGGTTAGTAAGCAGTTGGGAAAGAAGAAAGCTGCTATCAAAACACGGATATCTCGATCATGAAATGTATTCGTGTAAAATATACAACGTATTCAAAAGTTAATAAATCAAAACATCGTCAAGATATTGTTGATTAACACAACAAGTACAAAAAATGTACTGACCACTGTACTTAGAAATGCCAAAAAGTTATTAATATTACGACATGAGCCATTATCAATGAATCGTTAGCTGAAAAAACAGATCACCGAGAAGTGCTTAAGTGGCCAATAGACTTATTAAAAAGAGGCTTTTAAAGGGAAATTTCGTTACGTCTCAGCATGGACCCTACTACGAAGTAGTATAAATGAGGAAGAAAGATGGGTGCAGTAGTAGTAGGGTCCATGGTCTCAGCCAGCCTCTGAATAAGCGGGGATGGGGGGGGTGGAGCACATTTTGTTTTGTTTTCTCCCGGAAACTGGAAAAATATGCCGATCGATATTTCGTTCAGTAGGGGGGGGGTGAGGTCACTTTTTTTGTTCACCCTTTAGAACACACAACAAAAATTGAGGGGGGTTCCTCAAAAACACACACATACAACAAAAAAATGAGGGGGTTACCCCCCCCCCCCCCTCCCCCTCCTGGGTACGTGCCTGCTAATGACAAAATATCAGAGATGATGCCAGATGCGAAGCAGAAATAAAAAGAATAATAGAAATTAATACTCGGAATACACTTCTGGCAGTGAAAGACTTATTTACAGATAGAAAGGTAAAAATTTGCGCTTAGGTTGAGACTAGTAAACTGTTATGTATTGTCTGTCCTATTGTATGCAGCAGAAACAGGGACAATAAGCAAGGCCATGGAAAATAGAATAACATCTTTTGACATGTGGATTTACCGAAGAATGATGAAAATATCATTACTTTAAACAAACAGAACGTTATTTTTCCTGATTGAGGTGTCATATGAAATTCTGATACGCCCGCCAAATGACTTTTTGGTTTCCTCTCTTCAAATTGTTTGTAATCACTCATGTGTGAAATATGAGGATCTAAGCTTTATTAATATGTATCATTTATTAATAATAATTGTGATTAAGTTATGATAAAACATCCAAAATTCTCGGTTTCGTTTTTTCTGGGACGCACTCTATAGTTATAGTTTTATAGAATGACTGCTTTAAGGCCCACTGCACTACTTGTAGCTTCTTGCGCCCTCCATATAACAAACCATGCCTTATCGGTGACCATTGGTCCCCCATGATCCTCTTTTTTTATCATGATCATCTATACCCAATGCCAATTACCCCCCCCCCCCCCCCCCCTCGACAATGATCCAAGGCCAATTATCCTCACAACAGTTATCCCCAGCAGATTTCCCCCAGGAATTTTCCTCAAGAGTATTGCCACCAGGAAACTTCCACCTTACTTTTAGTACTGACGGGGGCTCTTTTTTAATAAAAAACTTCCATTAAATTGGTACCCATGATACTCCTAAATTATTTGCTATTTCATTATTATCATTAATTACTTACTTCCATATGCCTCCTGACACGTAGGGCAGCAACAAAAGTCCTCCACTCCTACCGATCCTGTGCCAGTCTTTGGATGGTTCCCCATGTGTGGTTCAGGTCTTTAATCTCCCCTTCCACAGTTCTTCGCCAAGTGTCTTTAGGACGTCCCCTCTTTCTGCCCATATGCCTCCTGGCACGTAGGGCAGCAACAAAAGTCCTCCACTCCTACCGATCCTGTGCCAGTCTTTAGATGGTTCCCCATGTGTGGTTTAGGTATTTAATCTCCCCTTCCAGAGTTCTTCACCAAGTGTCTTTAGGACGTCCCCTCTTTCTGCCCATATGCCTCCTGGCACGTAGGGCAGCAACAAAAGTCTTCCACTCCTACCGATCCTGTGCCAGTCTTTGGATGGTTCCCCATGTGTGGTTCAGGTCTTTAATCTCCCCTTCCACAGTTCTTCGCCAAGTGTCTTTAGGACGTCCCCTCTTTCTGCCCATATGCCTCCTGGCACGTAGGGCAGCAACAAAAGTCTTCCACTCCTACCGATCCTGTGCCAGTCTTTGGATGGTTCCCCATGTGTGGTTCAGGTCTTTAATCTCCCCTTCCACAGTTCTTCGCCAAGTGTCTTTAGGACGTCCCCTCTTTATTTTGCCTTCTGGTGTCCAGTGGAGGGCTGTCCGATCCTTCCCCACCTTCTGCTCATGATGATGTTCTCCATGCTCTATTGATGGCATTGGGCATACAGTGCTTCGTTTGAAATGGTGTTTGGCCAGAAAATGCGACATATTTTTCTCATACTCTTTGTGTGGAAGACCGACAGCTTATTGAGGTCATTTTTCGTCATTCTCCAACATTCAGAGCCGTACAGAAGAATGGAAAGGACACAGCTCTGTTACAATTTTAGCTTGGTGTTGATGCTGTACTGCTGTAATCTCCATATATTATTGAGCATTCTGAATGCATTTCTGGCTTTATTAAGACGGTTCTTAATGTCTTTGCCTAGGCCTCCATCGTGCCTAACAGTGCTGGCCAGGTAAGTAAACTCCTCAGTTGTATTTACTGTAGGTCTTCCCCGTTTGCTTGCATTGGTAAAGGGTCCGAGATGTTCGGGGTCATCACCTCTGTTTTCTTTTGGCTTTAGCTTCCGATGTTCACTCTAGATACTTGGGCTTTTTCTGTCAATATTCGAGAAAACGTGGCGATCAAACTAAAATCAAATCAAATTTAATAAACATTTAATTCCTTCACGAAATCAAAAAGAACATAATATCATGAAGAAAAAAAAATATTTACACATTTGGGAGGAGGCGAAATCACTGTCCAGCCCAGTGATTATGGTGGGGTCGCAATAACAAAACAGAAATATAATACATATATATAACATAAGTATTATCATTTACATAAAATACCTACATAATGAAGAAATAGAAGAGAAGGACCAAAATTAAAAATTAAACGGACAATACTGGAAATATATCGAGCGGTGGCTGGCGTTTTGCTGCGCTGCACTGGTTGAGTGATACGAACCCGCGAGCTGAAAAAAATTCAATCGCTAGGGATCTACAGCCTGCTCGACTTCTCCAAAAAATCGTTGGGCGATGCCTAAATTCCAGCGGCGACCGAGCAGGCTACTAATCGGTCGGTCGCTGCTCTGATTTGTGACCATACCTTAAGGCAGGGACGGCGATTTATTTTCAAGATCAGGGGACGAAATATGAGGGACCAGTGGCGTAATGAGAAAAAACGTTGGGGATGTCAAAAGAAAAAGATCCACATCACCACCATTGTTAAATGTTACATGCATTACCCGCGGAACGTTTTTTCAAAATGGGGAGAGGGGGTTTTAGTATAAATGATCAGGTAGAGTGTAGCCCTTAATAAGCATATTTGTTGCCTGACTCTAATTTTGAGAATTTTTCTTTTTCCATAAACGCATACAAAATCGAGAAAAATGTTGAATTTTATTGGGGGGAACTGCCCCTAAGCCCCCATCAATACATCAGTCAAAGGGATGAGGAACCATAGTGAGCGAGAGGGGCGAAGGTTACGACAGTGACAACCTCCTCACAGGATTTTGAAGTTTTATTCTATTAATAATTTACATTCCCTAGCAAAACTATACTATAAAACCAAGTAGTATACCTTTTTTTACACTTTTCTTTTACTTTGCCGGTAATAAGCGTGCAGTCCAAAGGGTTGTACATATCAGTTTAGTAGGTAAATGTTAGTATTAAGTAGGGAGCTTGGGCATGGATGTGATTTCTATTTCCCACTCTAGACCTTAGTCATATACGCGTTTATTGATATCGCTATGGGAGCTGAAATAGCAAATAAAACCTGGCAAATATATGGCTATGTTGTAATGACTCCTTATTGAAAAGATCAAGCGAAATCCCGCCCGCCCCCCCCCCCCCCCCACTCCGAGAACGGACGGACCCCATGCGTGTTACCAAACGTCCGGTAAAGGGGTACTTTTCGTGCGACAAAGTCCGGCCCGAGAATTGTAAAAAAAAAAGAAAAAAAAAAGGGTGTATTTGATTTTTCACCCGGAGTTTTCTTTAAAAAGGGGGTGTTTTTTTTCTTTCTTTCTCTAATATCTTTGGACTCCTGAGAAATTATTCCGAATTGCGGGGGTACATTGAGCATTTTTCTGGATTTAGGGGGGTCTCCAAGGCAGGAAAAGCCCGCGAAAAGCCCGCGAAAGGGGGGTTCGGAAATGTTGGCAGTCCTCAGATAGGGGGTGCTTTCAAAAAGAGGGGACAAGCATATGCGTCCCCTAAATAACACTGAGTGGGGGGGGGCCGGGAGCGGAATATACATTTTGTAGCACTAATCTATTTATATACCTCTTAATCTTGTAAACATACAGTGTAAACTGTGCTTACGTGATACCAACGGAATACAGATTTTCTACAATATTGACTTGTTCTTTTTTATGGGGGCACTTTTTCAAATTTTCCGGGGGGACGGAGGGGATCGGGATTGCCGCCCCTGATACTAGATGCTACATGCGTCTAAAATAATATTATCATTAGTATTTTATGTGTTTAATGTATAAGGTATTCAGCGTTATAGGAGCACACGATTATTTCGTTCAGTTTTGGTCATTAGTAAGTAGTCAATTCTATATAGTTTGAGTGTTTGAAATATTATTCTCTCTATACGGCACGCGAACGTAGGTGCCGGAAGTGGGGGGCCTGGATGCGCTTCCCCCCCCCCCCAACCAAAAAAGTGGGGGGCAAAACGCAGTTTCGCCCCCTCCTAAAACAAAATTAAAAAGCAGTAAAGGAGTAAAGATGGTTTGTATTTTTTATGCGTTTCTTGGAAAATAACACATTCCCAAATTTACAGTCCGGCCAAAAAATGTGCTTATTTAGAAGCGTTCATGTCAGGGCCTGCTGAACGTCGGGACTCGGGGGCTTCAGCGCAACTCCTCCCCCTTTTTTTCAAAAAGGATGTTAAAGAGCAAAAGAAAAAAAAGAGGGAAATGTCACAAATGTCAAAATGTCACAAATGTGGTATCAAAATATGCTCATCTGGCCGGGGTTGCGCCCCCTTTATCCCAACAAGGGCCTTAAAGAGGGCCCCTGGATGCTCATCTGACCGTAATTAAGATACCTAAAATCTCCGAGCTTCCGGGGGCTCGGCCCCTTGGACCCCACCAATGGCCCTACGGCGGGCCCTTGGATGCTCATCTGACCGTGACCGTAATTAAATACCTAAAACCCCTGAGCTTCCGGGGGCTCTGCCCCCTAAACCCCCTGCAAATTTGTGACCTGCCAGTTCACAATTAAGGTATCTAAATATGCTCATCTGACCGTAATTTTATGCCTAAAAATCCCGAGCTTCCGGGGGCTCAGCCCCTGGACCATATGGGAATTTACGCTTGCTATGCTCTACCTGATCGTTATTAGGGACTTTCAGATTCTGCAAGACGAGAACGTAGACTGCCCTTTTAAGGCAATTGCAGTGACGTCACATTGCCTTAAAAAGGCAGTCCGCGCTCTCGTCGTGCAGAATCTAAAAGTCCCTATTACTCCACTTCGAAAAAACGTTCCGGGGGGCCATGTAAAAGTAGTGATGATTCAGAATTTTCTTCTGCCCCCCCCCCGATTTTTGTTGTTGTTGTTGCTCATTACGTCATTACCCCTGGAAGGTGAGCCCCCTGAAATGTTTGCCCCCCCCCCCCCCCCCACCCCTCCCAAACTGCTTCCGGCGCGCCTGCACGCGAAGGTTTGTTTTGATTACATAAAAAGCGATTGTAAATATGGGAAACAGACTTGTTTCTGTGATACACAGTTTGATTGCTGACACGGTCCGTTCTTTTTCACTTATTCCACTTCCAGACACTTGTGCGTTTGACATGGATCCACCAAATGTGACATGTTCAAATGTAACGACAAAACCTTTCTTACCAAATTCCTTTCTCGGACTGGTTGCGGGAACCGAATTCACCAACGTGGATGAAAACGTTGACCCAAGTGGGGCCACGTACAACGTCACAAAGGGTCGGGACGGAGACTTGTTCCTTCCAGGACACACACCTGTTACACTGTTCGTAAAAGATATTTGTCAGAATGTAGCTACTTGCCTCTTCTATGTAGAGAACACACGTAAGTATGAACATTTAATGCTAGTTCCCGGTCATTTTTAGGTGGCCGTTAAATAAGGAACTATCATATTTAATTCAGCACATACATCGTGTATTATCAGTCCAAATCAAAGCCTTATTTAGTCACTCAATTCAGCGTTTCGAAATGGTTATGTAATGGTAGATTGACTAAATTCAGTTACTTGACCGTTCCACATAGAGAACTCACGTACGCTTTCATCATTACATGCTCTAGTAGTAAAATATATGTATTTTTAGCATAATAGTTTTGTGTCATATAATTGTTCCACAAGTCACAACGTTCCCCCAAAAAAGTTGCAAAATTATGGATGAGGCAAGAAATGCACATTATGTGGCATATCGTGAAGGCATCCCATCCAGCAAAAATATGATTGTTTATAGTTGCATTGAGATTCAATTTAGGATATCATTTATTATACACATATACAAATAATTGTCAAAATTAACTCATTTTTGTCTTCATTTTTTTACATTTTGGATATGTTGGCAGTTACCGAGTTGCCTGTGAATTGTCCAGACTTGAATCGCAATGTAAGCACAGATGTGGACAAGGCGACGTATACCTTTAACCCAGATTTCGGAGCAGATGACGTCACCAAATCTGCAAGTGGTTACAGATATCACGGAGGTGGTGTCTCGGTTAATCTTACACTAGGAGGTTCCCCACTTGGAAGCAGTGTGTCCATAGGAACCCATGACGTGGTTGCCCTCATCTATGATGACGTATTGAATAAGACATGCACAGGAATCTATATTATTACAGGTAATCTTTGTGATACGATTTCCATCACGTTTTTGTGAGGAAGTATCATTCACCATACCATGAATTTTCTTCTATTTAGTGTGAAAGATTGCTGTGGTAAAGGTATGGGCTTTTGCTGGAATATAATTGTGTTCGTTCTCAGTGATATACTCCTTTAAAGGTTATCAGTACTAGTTTTCAGGAGGGATTAGACCGCCCTGTAAGGTCACTGGACAGGTTTTTATCTCATCAACCCACCTCTCAGTTAACATAAGAAAAAGAGGATCATGGGGGACCAATGGTCACCGATTAGGCACTGTTAAATATAGAGTGGGCGCAAGTAGCTATAAGTAGTGCAGTGGGCCTTTAACATGCATTATTTCCAATTCCAAAATGTTTCGGATAGTCCGTCCTTACCGATAACGACTACTAATTTGTTGATAGAAGATAACAAACAAGAAAGAAAGAAAGAAAGAAAGAAAGAAGAAGAAGAAAAAACACTCAGGGTATAAGTGGAAATATTTAGTTCACTGATTTGCGGAACGCCGATTACAACTTTCTCATTCCATGTAGTTTACCACGTTTTAACTAAATGAACGAATAAAAATCATGCCATGATCAAAAATCAATTCCCTATTTTCAAAATCAATCAGGATAAACGTAGTCCAACTTCATGAGCAGCGGTAATGATTTCTCTCTTTCTCTGATATTTTAAACATCCCTTTCCACAGTATACGTGTACAGATTGCATTACGATAACGAAAAAGAGATAAACTTTATTACCCCCTCCTTTATAAGATGATATGTTGGGATAAATTGTTTCAGATAGCTTTTATAATGAGATTATTAGGGATAATTCAAATTCCTACCTTTTCACTAGAAATTGCATAGAAGACTAAACTTTTTAAACCATGAATTTACTAAAGCCTTGTAACCTTTATTAGCGAGATGGGGTTCGGCCTTCTATTCAAACCGGACATATTGAGGACAATGTTGTCAATGTTGTTAATCAACAATTATTAAACTTTAACCGGGGGGGCTATCAATTTTAATCGACACTACGTTTTAAACCATGGTTGAGCGATTTTTAATCAACAATTTTTCAACCCGCAGTTTTTTAATACCTGGTACTTGTTTTAAGGCTCGGTCACCAAAGGGGACGCATGGGGGCGCACGGCCGGCGCATTGAAAATCGGAAAAATTTGTGATTCCGACTTTTGTCAGGATTTGGGAGAAGCTAGCGAGCTGACACCGAATGCATAGCGTGTTGCTAGCGCGATGCGCGTGTACAGGGCATGTGCTTCACGTATGTCTGGCGTTGGTCTAGCGCGCTCCGCGCATGTCTGGCGTTCCTTTGGCGTGTACATTCACGCGTCGAGCACCGCGCACACTTTTGAGCATGCTCAAAATATCCCGACGCACACAGCGAATGACGACGAATGCATAGCGTTGGTCCAGCGCGCTCGACGAACGAGTAACAAATGATGACGCACACCTAGCGAACGACAACGCACTGGCCAAAATAGCAAATTTCCGATGCGCTGGCCGTGCGTTTTTTTTTTCGGGGTTGAAGCACTCCAAACCTTTTCCTGCATCCCCAAACATATTTTGTTTTCACTAAATATCTGAAAAATTACTAACACAAAAATACACATGAAATATGATCAACGTAGTTTTTCAAAGATGTAGATAACCTTGCATTTTATAATTGTTTGTCAGATAATGTAAATCCTGTGGTCGCATGCCCAGCTGACTTCACCTCCGATACACTCACTGTATCATTCTCAGCGGATGTCACAGACAATGTTGACCCTGCACCAGCGTTGACCTACGATCCTGTAGGGCCAGGTTCTGTTTTTCCTCTGGGTCCAACGACAGTCACTGTCACAGCCACAGACAGTTCGTCAAACAAACACTCATGTTCATTTACTGTTACGGTGACAGGTGAGTACATCAAATCCTTTGTTGAGCTCTTGTTCGTCCATCAAATTTAAACCAACCAAATCCCAGCATGTCTGTTTGTTTTCGAAAAACGACCGAATCAAGGTCATGTGTTGCATGTAAATGCACTATTTTTCATTGTTTCCTTTCCTGTGTTGATTTTTTTTTTTTTTTTTTTTTTTTTGTCGTTCATTTGCTCGCGAAGAGTTTCTTGGACATATTAGAACTCAAATGTTGATATATATTTACAAATATCTTATGTTTCAATAGACGATCTTCGTAATCTAATTAAATTCATTGAACGAATCTTTGTTTAGTGCCTTGTTACAAATTATGTCATTCACCTGTTATGAATTATTGTATTTCAATATTCAGGATGTGAATTGCATACATTTTTTTTTGCACACGATGACGCTCTTTGGACAAGTTATAAATCAAGTTTCGCAAAGAAATACCAGAAATTTCTTCTCCTTTTTTCATTTGAAATCTAGTTAAAACGAGCAATTTTCATTTTAGAAATACATGTATCACATATTGATCAATATATTGATCGGATAAGTGTTTCTTGAGTTGACAATAAAATGCGACGTTTGTTTGACCTATGCAATGATGACCTATGCAAATCTTGCACATGACGTCATCTACACGTCATTTTATTGAATTAAAAAAGAAATTGCTCTATTCCGTTGGAGAAGGATAGTTTTGGTGTAGCTTCTACTTATTCTCCCAAATGTGACGTTTACGCAAGGTGCTCATGATAAATATGAGATATTGAATTTTAGAAATCTGTGAACCAATTCCTTTTCGTTTTAATTATTTGACAATTTTAGAAATAAAGCAATCTATCTGCATGCCGAATGCACATTGCAAGATTCATAGTCATTCCACTCCTTTGTGTCCCTGGCTTTTCGTGTAATTGTGGATAATTTATCAATGCATGCATCCTTTTCTTTGTAGTACGTAGATACGTTTGAAAATGATACAATGTATCTGCCACGTCTGCAGGGAAGGTGATCATTTTAAAAAAAAAGTCCAACTCTTTGGCCCGAATTCACAAAGGAAGGTTTGTCGACAAACCAGGTTTTCGTACGTCATAATGACGCGTTTTGACGCGGTTTTTACAAACCTGGTTTGTAAAAAACAAAAGAAGTTTTGACGAGCAGAAGAAGGTTTGTCGACAAACCTCCTTTGTGAATTCGGACCTTTGTGCCTAAAGCTTTTTGTGTGTGATTGTGAATGCAAATGAAATGTAACCGTGTACTAATATTCAGTATGAACATTACAAGAGCTGAAGGCCAACCAAACTTTTGTGTACAATATAATCTCTCTGCATGTAACATTGCGAGAGCTGTAGTCAACACAAACTTTTCTGTCCAAAGCTTTTCGTGTGTGATTGCACCTGAAATGTAACCATGCACTAATTTTCAGTAGTTCTTTTTCGTTTTAGTTACATACATATGAAAATAATATATTCTGCCTGCATTCAGGATGAACAAGAGCTGAAGTCCAATAAAACCTTTGTGTACAATATAATGCACTTAATTACTTCATGAACTTTCAATTATCATTTTCGTTGTAGTTACTAGCTGCTTTTGAAAATAGTACATGATGGAATCATGCAAGTGGTGGAATTCTAGAACCGTTTTCAGGCCAAATCCTCCAGTTCTTTCTCGCTGAACTCACCCCTGCTAATTATCAACGTTACCGTGGTCACGTCATAGTCAAACAACGGTCATACTATCGTCACCATTCCCAGGCACAGTAACAATTTGGGATACAATTTTCTTCATAATATTTAAAGGAAAGTAGATTTCATTAATGCATCATGGAACTGTATGAATAATTGTAGTCGTCACATCAGGGGTGGAATAAATGTTTGCATCAATATTATTTTGATACTTTAAACACTAATTTGCGAGGAGAGCCCGGAATATTCCATTCTTTTTTCACACCATGCTGAGGGAGGGGGGTTAGCATTCTTATTTTTAAGGGTTGATTTAAGGTGAGCTGTCCATTGCACATACCTCTAAATGTTTTTGTTTCAAAATGGTTTTATCTTTGTCGTATTCCTTCTATTTAATCACTTTGATTCATAGTTCTTGTACTCCATCGTTGTAAACAAAAAAAAGTGAATATGTATTCTATAGATTGGTTAACATACTTGTTACCCTTTTTGTTCTATCGCAATTCTGTGCATGTCTATATAGCATGTGTTATTGCTTATGGAATGTCTCGCTCATTGCTAAGTAAGACAAAAGTTGGTCAGTAATGTAATCATATGGGGTTTTTTAATCAATGTAATGACTTAAATGAAGTATCATGTACTTTCCAGAATTTTCATCATAATTTTCATCGTGCATTACCAGCTATATCTGAATTACAAGAAAATAGTTACATTTTAAAACAAGTGCTTGTTATTATATATGTTATGTTTCGTTCATTTGTTTTATTGTTATTCGGTTGTTTTTGTATTATCTGTTTGTTTGTTTGTTTTTGTGGGAGTGAGTTGGCCATTGTTACGGTAAAGCCAAAGCGTTTCCAATATTTAGAAAGCTTTCACACTGATTCCGTTTAAATTTGTCTACAAGGAAATGCAAACTGGTGATGAAAAATCTGTAGACATTGATGTGTAGAGAACTTTGAACACGGCACTACAAGATTAATATTTCGCTTCTTATATCACTTATACCACAACCACATTATTACTGAAATATTAGGAGAGAAAAAATCGATGACTATTATCAAAATTTTATATGAATGAATCTCTCACACAATTGTGTTATCTATTACAAAAACATATGATATAATAGAAAATTATTTTAGTCCTCCTTTGTTCATCTATGTTCTCTCTTTTTCTTTTTGTCCCTATATTTTTATTTTCCATTTTGAATATCCCATTCTGCTTCTATCTCTCTCTCTCTCTCTCTCTCTTTCTCTCTCTTTATTTCTCTACTTGCTTCTCTGTCTCTCTTTCCCTATCAAATTCACTGTCTCTTCTCTCTCATCATTTCCCTTTCCTTTCTTCTCTTCTCTACCTCTCCATCCCTTCCCCGTCTACCCCTCGTTATCTCTTTCTCTCTCTCTCTCTCTTTCTCTCTTTCCACCTTTATTTCTAACCATTTTCTTGTTTTGGTCCTCTCCTCCATTTCTTTCTACCACACATACGCATTTCTACCCCCCCCCCCCTCCGCTCCCACCACCGAACACACCTTCATACCCACACATTTGCAGAATCAACCACTACTTCAAATCAAGGAAACAGTGTCGGTTCGAGTGGTGAAAGTAGTGGAGAGGATGCTGACAGTGATGATGAAGATTCCTCTGGTTCGAACGAGTCCTAATAAAAACCTCATAAAAAAATATTTACGGTGTACTGATATTGTTTTGAATCTATTTTGTGTTTTCGATATTCTTTCTTTTTTCTTTTAAAATTAGGAAAACATTAATTGTTTTTATTCCATTACATTTCTTACTCAGTGTTTTTAATTCTCTACATTTCATTTTTCTTCATTTGTACATGTACAACGTCCTCCCTTATTTTCCTCATCTTACTGAATGAATGCATTAGATGAATATTCATTATTTTGTACTATTTCTAGGTAAAATCGTGTAGTGTATTGGTAGATCTTGTCATATATATATATATATATATATATATATAATTACGAATAAAGCATTGTGTGTAAATTTTGTAATACGTTAATCTTTTATTCCATCGATCATACGAAATATTTCTATTTATAAAATGTAAAACATTAAATTGTCAGCAAATAAGGTAACTTTCTCAGCTTCACGATCATTGGAAATGTTTATAATATACCTTTAAAAAACGCAATGTTATATAGTCGCTCTAAAAGGCTATGAGCAGCAACATCATAAAAACCTCATTAAATCTTCCTTGAAATTACTCAAAATCACTTCAGTAATACCTTGATTTAAATAGTTTTTATTACTACAGAACTAATACGAGTCTGGCTAACATTCCGTGAAGGAATGGAAAAGGTTGGCAGTGTTGTAATTATTATTAATTTACTACCCCTACTTTCTCAAAAATGAGAGCCTTTCGTATTTTATGTGCGACGGGGAAATTGATCGAGGTTGCATCTGTACGGTCATTTTCATTTTCAATTAGTGCATTTTTATTGAGTACTGCAAACAGATGATGAGTATATAACTGAATTTAAAGGCCCACAATATGAACTGATAGAGTCAAATTACATTTGCTGTGTTATATTTAATAGATTTCATATGTTTAGAAATGAACCATACGTATTTTAAATGTTTATTTTTTAATGTATATATTTATTTTAAGCTAAAGTTGTTGGGTTTCTCTTTACATGAACTTGCATTTAATGTAAGTAATTATATTGCAATGAATTATGTCATCCCAGTAGATCGACAGCCCACGAAACCGACAAAACATAGAAATAAACAAAAGAACATTTCGGTCTCTTAGGATGTTGGTCTCCTCGCCCATCGGGTACAGTGAACCCTAAAGTGGCTTGAAAGATCTCGATATTTTAGTGAACCCTTCATAAGATTGTCAGAAGGCCGGCAAGACCAACTTGATTGTATCTCGTTGACTGTCGGTTTAGATGGCTGTTCATCTCGTGCGCTGTCGTTCTCGCGGGCTCTATTTCCCCTCTTAGTTTTATTCGAGGATCGATAGTTGTCCTGATTGTCCCAAAGAAAATGTATTACTATTATCGTAATTATAGATAAGATAAGATCAGAAAAAGATATTTCGGTTAAAGCCATTTTGTTTAGTTTAATTTCTTAACTGGTATAATTGAGCTTTTGTCTCTAGTTTTGTCAGACCAGACCTGAATTTAATTTTCATCCACGTATGTTGTGTAAATCTATAAGACTAATAAATGCAACTGGATTATATGGGTCTACTGGAATCATTATGCAGTCCATTCTCAGTATATTCTCCTTTCCATTCTCGTGTATATTCCATGATCCTATCTATAATTATGCACTTTATATGTATATATATACTGTATATATATATATATATAAACAATGCATAATCAAAAATGAGAAAGAAGGAAAGTTTCATGCTTTAAATCCGACAGGTTTTATTACGTCCCGAATTTTTGACGTACGTCGCGTCTTTATCAAATGGATAGGATAAGAATCAGCATTAAGATCTTCATAGCGTTTCCGAAGCAATGCAGAAATAGTTTACATGAAAGTATCAATTGAGGCGCATTACCTTAGAAACGCTTTACAGCTCAAAGAAATATCTTGGTGTAAAGTTTGAGCACGTTACAATCAAGTTAAAGAAAAAAAATATTACAAAATAATACAAAAAGCATGCGATCTACTGAAAATTATGAGAAGCGCCTTAAAAGTAACCATCCGCAAAGCTTCAGTATTTCGGGACCTAATAAAAAAAAACTTGGATTGCATGATTCTTCTCTTCTTCATCATTTCTGCGTCATTTTATGCTAACACGTGGACTTATATCCGATATATTATGGAGAGAGAGAGAGACGAGAGATAAAGAGAAAGACGAGAGAAAGAGAGAGAGTGTGTGTGTGTGCTAGAGAGACAAGAGAGGGAGAGAGAGAGAGATGGCGCGGTCGTATTGACTCTAGTTATGGGCAAGGGTGGGTGATATTCTGAAAAACGATGTTGTTAGTAAAGCCAGGGGGAGATCCACGTAGCGATTATCCCGGCCCGCCCCCCCCCCCCCCCCCCTAGCCCCCCACACGATTTTAAAAAAATAGGATAATAACGTAAAGTTAACCTTAATTTAAAAAAAATTAAAAAAGCGCCCCCCCCCCCCGCTTACTCGCCGGAAGGCTGAGTCGACACTAAATTTTGTATTACGATTTGGCTACCCCCCCCCCCCCCTTGACGCCGTCTGGATCCTCTGCAGGCGCGGATCCACGAGGGGGGCTGAAGGGTCAACAACAACAACAACAACAAAAATTCTCACGAATTAGGTGGAAAAAAAAGTGGTCTCACCCCCCCCCCCCCCCTCCCCTCGCTTATTCACCGGCTGACTGAGTCGGCGCAAAATATTTCCTGAAAAATTGGACTAAAAAAAGTGCCTCCTACCCCCCCCCCCCCCCCCCCGCTTATTCACCGGTGGCTGAGTCGCAACTAATATTTTCTCATGGATTGGCCCCCCCCCCCTTCCCGCTGGCTGGATACGCCACTGAGTAAAGCGATGGTAATTGTTATAACAAATCAAAAATAAGTCATTGGTTAGCATGGTTGATGTTTATGAAAAATTGGCTTCGAAAAGTTAAAAGAGACATCTTTTTTTCTTCTCGATGACGATATTGTTTCTCACATGCAAAGCCCATGTAACCTCAAATAAGGAAAGTGTCTAGATACTACTACCTTTTGTATGAACAATAACTACACCGTTAATGTCATGCTATTATCATAATTCAGGTATGTCGAGCGAATGACACATCTAATCATCAAATCCATGATATACAAAGACAAGTGATGGTGTCAGTTTGAAATGCCCTTCTCAAGTGATGAGATTAATTCACGATTTGGCCGATATTCCTATATTGTTCACTGTGACTTTGAATTCTATTTTGGCAACAATTCCAATTCTAGTAAACGCGGGATAACATATGTCATGCTTCAGCATGATTAAATCTCTATTACCTTAAAGATTGGTTTTGATATTACTCGATCAAAAATACAGTATTAATGACTTCCTACATAATTCTATTTAGCATAAAAATCCGGGCATTTTTTTTTCCATCCTACTTATACATACCATGTAGAAATACAGAAAGGAGGTTTAAACAATGTCAAAGTAGAGATCGGAAATTCTTGGTAAATTGTAGAAAGCGTTGCCGTTCACATACCTTTCAACACTGATAAAGCTGGACAAGTTTAAAGCAACATTTTCTAAAAGAACCATTCTGTACCTTTAAAAAAAATACACATTCCATTAAACGGCGATATCATAGTATGTGTTGTTTAGTTTCCCCGCGCTGTTAATTGACAGTAAAGGTGTAGAGCGTCATTTTCAATCTGCTGATAATTCGTTAACAGCTATATTGTGTGAAAAATAAAATTAGTAACCTTTTTTTATGACAGATAGGTCTTCAGCCGCACTGTAATTGTGAGTATTTATCATGCCACATTCCTCAAATGAGTTAACGTTGAGCCACTAGGCAGGTAAAGCTACCATTTCCCTGCATAGTATTTTCCTATTACTAATTGGTATAAATATTATACATGTGTATAAATGAAAAGAGATAACCTATACAACAGTTTTAGCATCTCCCCTGGAAATGAATACCATACGAAATGAATGAGAGAGAGTAACGATTGCGTAGCTTAAATCAAAGTTCCCTATTGCTGTCCTCCCTTTGGACATTTTGTGCAAGGGTTGAAAGACCACGGGGACGGGTCACTGGCTTCGGGGACACCTGATTCAATTGACAGAATTACAGGTTGACACATTTGCAACCAAAATTAATTGCAAAACAGATTCCAAAAAGGAGGACATCAATGCGGAACTTTGATTCAAGCTACGCGACCAATTTTCTCTCATTTCCTTTTGCGTTATATTATATATTATACAGATGTATATTTTACTAAAGGTGGCATTAGAGGGATATTTGGAGTGAAAAAATGATTCATTAAGTAGATATTGTCATTAGGACAATTTGGTGTCCTCTCAACGTTTTTTTACGTTTTATTTCTCACAGAAGGCCAAATTTTGTGTATTTATCTCTCTTTATGTATGTTATTTTACTAAAGGCGTCATTGGAGGGACATTTGGAGTGAAAAATGAGTCATTAAGTAGACATTATGGTTAGGGTTAGGGTTAGGATTTTTATGATGTCCACTTTGATGTACCATGTAGGGTTATATATATATATATATATATATATATATATATCAACATTTACTATATTTACTTAAAATGAATTTAGCTGTTGTTGTACTTGTTTAAACCGTGCTTGATAAATTTCATGGATCATTCTTTAAAACCTATTCCATGTTTAACTTTGCAAAATGAGCCTCAATTAACCTTCAAGAAATACAAGTGAACTTTAATCTGGATTTAATTGCCTTCTTTAAGCAAATTTACTCATTTGGCAAATTCAACATGTTTGAGTAAGTTACTCATCAATTAACTATGACAATGTTGATTGTTTGATGTGTAATTTAACCACACATTCCATCAAAATGGGTCAATATATGGTTCTAACAAATAACAGGGATAATGATTTCCGGATTATTTGCCACGATTTACGATCAATGTCAACAAACAAATTTTTCCTCGATTTAAACAGATATGCGTTGTTAGCCTACCGGAACGGAGATTAAACATTGCGGCTGAAGTAAGGTCACAGCGGAAGGCGTTGTGGCGTGCGCCTGTAACCCAACTAACAACTAATTACAATTTGATTCAGCCGAGCTAGACGCAGGTACGAAGCTGAGTCACGTCTTTCGGATGGTGACGTCTATAGGTCGGTCCCCAGACGTAAATAATCATATCTGATTGATACACGTCTGTTAAAGTAAAGAAAAAACCAATACAATACACACACATGATCATTACCAGCGGATGTCATGGGTGTCGATCCGAGGGGGGGGGGGGGGGGGGGGGGGACATATCCCCCCCCCCCAATATTTCAGGTGGGGGGATGGCTTGTACAATCATCCCCCCCCCCCCCCCCAATAATTCCTACCGTATATGAGACAAGAATGAATTGCATTCTCGCTCATACGGCTTCATCAGGAATTTATGAATTTATTCAATTTATTCAATCAACAGCATCAATGCAGTGCGCCAAATGCAAAACCCAGATATATCCTATGTGGGTTAACCCAGATTTTCTCCATGTGCTACCCATATGGGCATATTCATATTCTATCCATATGTGTACGCCCAGCTCATTCCCATCTGGGACCCATAAGGGCTGGCCCAGATAGATCCCTTATGGGTTACTAAATATTGGCTCCATATGGGATACATATATGGGTTCCATTTAGCCCAGATGGCACAAGTGACCCAGATCATCCCCATATGGGCCCATATGGGCTTGCTACCTGGGGAAAAGGGAAAAGGGGAAGAAACGGGCAGAAGAAAAAAGGAAGAAAGACAAGAGAACGACGGTTTTGTCCAAAAGGCAGCATGTAGGAGACGAAACTTTAAGTTTGTTCCCTGATTCATACTCAGTATGTATTTTCTTTTATTGATTTCATCCATTTCTTTTTTTATTTACATCTCTACATGTAAAATATTTGAAGAGCTATTTTCCGAAAGGAGCAAAATCTTTTGATAGCAAATGGAGATAATGGTATTCATTTTCCTCTATTTACCTTAAACAAATATATTAACCTAAATTACAAGAGAAATTATGAACACATGCATCTTTTAAAGGCCCACTGCACTACTTGTAGCTACTTGCGCCCTCTATATAACAAACAATGCCTAATCGGTGACCATTGGTCCCCCATGATCCTCTTTTTCTTATGTTTACTGAGAGCTGAGTTGGTGAGATAACCACCTGTCCAGTGACCTTGCAGGGTGCTCTAATCCCTCCTGTAAACTACGGCAGATAAGCTTTAATAACAATTTTCCATTGACACCTGAACAAAATCGGGTAAACAAAGGGTTCTTTCTTAAGTTACATATATGGATCTAGTGCCTCTTGAAAATAAGCTCTTTGTATGTACATAAACAAGCAATACAACAGAATACTCCAGTTCGATATTTTAGAAAAAGATTATTATGTCACAACTTATCTTTGTTTTATTGAAAAGCTGATGTAGGCCTATGTATTGTATTCAAACGTAACATGCATAGTTAAGGTGTTTATGAAGGTTAGAATGTTATTAAGTTTAAAGTTTTGATTATAACACCCTTCCAATAATAATTCACCTTCTAAGACTGGTTATAGTTTTT